AGAATTCTCACTCAAGGCCCAGATGACCAGGTTCAAATTATCCTACTTCAGGCACATTATGTGAAGACTTAGCTCTCTGCAGAAGGCTCTAATGCTGGGAAAGGTGGAAGGAGAGAAGAAGAGGACAACCAGCAGCAAAGTGGATAGACTCAGTTACAATGGCAATTTGGTGCCATTGTAAGAGATGAAGGACTAAGTTAGGAAGAAAATTTATGTATGTGGTTGCTAAGAGTCAATAACAACTTGATGGCACATAATCAATTAATCAGGCATAAAATCCAGTTATATAAATTGGATTGGTATCTGGAAATTCATAATAGACATTATAAAACAATGCACAGTCAGGTCAAGCAGGATCATAACAAAAAACACCTTTGGTTAATGGTATGGTAGTGATATTATGCATTAAATAGTAAGTCAGTGGGCAGCACTGAAAATTTTTAAAGTAGCTCAGGTTTTCTGAGGTATCTCAGAACTCAGAGCCAAGTTCAAAGAGTTTAAAAAAAAAAAAAACCAAATCAAAACCAAAATACTCAAAATCCACTGATTGAATGATATCATGATCCTGCTCAACCATACTGGGATCTTAAAATTCTCTTGCCTGTATCTCTCAGATAAGCACACAAAGTATACAGGAAAGCCGGCACCATTTTTTTTTTTACCTCCCTATTCCTAACTTGTGTGTAGTGTAATAAAAAGGCATTTTATTTAGTTATTTAAAAAATATTCCTATACTAGTCCCCATATCACATCTTCAGACAGTTTTCACACTTCACTGAACATGTCCAAAATATTAGTGGGTATTCAGAGATGCAGAGAGCTTTGAAAACGCATAGAACTCCACAACCTACGAGTAATTGCTCCAGAGAATTACACAGCAGCAGTGGACCTATCCTCATAACATACATACACACACCTGCCCACTACACCTAGCAGCTGTATAATTTCCAAAACAAAATTTTTTTGTAAGCATCTGTATTATACTAGGATAACAGTGTTTATCTTTTTTGTGCTATGCATTAATATTGGCTTTTAATGTTAAATAATCTACTAAGAATTAAAATTATATAATCATTTGAAAAGTAGGCTAACCAAATATAGAACATAAATTGCTTATGTAATAAAATTAATACATTTGCAACATGGTTTAGGAAGACTTTAGAATACTTGTAAATTAAACTAGCAAGATGGTTTAGGAACTATAACCATCTAGGTTACAGTTTAGGACCAGAATAGCTAAATTTCAGCAACTGGAAGGGCTTTCGTAGAGATTGGATCTGGGCTGATCTTGGCAAGTATTGACCCATCCCTTTTAAACAACAGCCCTTGAAAAGTCTGAACATATTTTGTTTAATATTTCCTGTGAGGTTTCTTGTTCTGTTTCACTTCAAAGATTTCATCATGTACTCAGTCTCAGATTTTCTTCTTGTTCTTAAAGCACGGTATCACTCGATTGAAACAGCCATTCTCTATACAGATAAAGCAAGGATTAGCAGTTACAACATTATTCCATGGATGACTGGTTTTGCTATATAAGACACAAGTCACCACTCTCAAGATTATAAAGGAAGTTACACAACAGTTTTTGTACTATTCTGTGTTATGTTATCTCTGATTAGGAACACTGATTAAAACGGGATCTGCATGTGAATGGCCATTTCTATTTACTAAATTACAAGTTTCTTACATGGCAATCATATCCATGCAGACAATGGAACGTATATATTGCTATGCATCATACAGAACTACATATTTAACTTCATGTGTGTGGACTGAAAAAAGGTTATTATAATCTGTTGAAGATTAATTTGTACAAGATTCATGCTATTTCTTATACAGAAATTTGTAAGAAAATTGCACATATAGGAAATTTGCCATGTATGCCTAACCCCCAAGACTCAGACTCATTTCAATATTTTTGCTTTAAGCATTGTCTCATATGTTTTAAAGCAAACTAAAATCAGGGCAGTGTAGACAGAATGAAAAAAAAAAAATGTGCCAGCATGGAGGATCCAGAGAAAAGCACAGATATATACAGGGGTCTGAAGATAACTCAAGCATTTGTTTCATCAACAGTTTAACTCCATATATTACCAGGTTCCCAGGGAAATCATTATGGCAGGAAAGTTACAATTTTGTAGTTTCTATAGAAGAGCCACAGAAATAGTTTGTGTTCTGGATTTCATTGCATCAAATCAATACATCTCTGTAAGTCTATCAGATCTGGGCTCCAAAAATCTGGACTACCATTTGATGAAAACAAATAGGTGCAGAAAATGTTAACTTCCTACTTTCATCTAGTTAGACATTCCTTCACCAAGAAGCAAAGTTTGCAACACATATTTAAATCTTCAGGAATAAAATTTAAGCAGTTTATCCCCCCCATTACCAAACAAAAAGAGAAGAAGATATAGACTATAAAGCAAGCTTAGAGTAAAATTCATTATCTTTAATAGAACTGCATAGGCTAACCCTAACTAACTAAAAAATAAATAAATTACACCTGTTCAAATTAACAATTCTGCTTCTTAAGAAGTGCTGTATCACATTTAACCTTCCGTTGCAACAATGCAATGTAGCATATTACTTGTTAAAGCTACAGTTATGATTATTTTAAAAGAATTTAAAGCAATCAATGTAATATTAGTCATTAACATTCTAGAAGAGAAGTAAACAATTTCTCTAAACTAATACTGCAAGCTATTGTAACATAACTTAGGAGAAATTCGGAAGTAACTGCCATTATATTTATGAATGATGTGAAAAACTTTCAAGAACGGCATTATTTACTCAACGTTAATTTACTTACCCAAGTTCAAGTTGTTGACATATCACTGAAGCGTCAGCATTATCCCAATGGTTACTGCAGATTGTTCCCCATATTCCATTTAGATATATTTCAACTGTGCCTTCAAACTCATTTCTGCCACCTTTAAGTCTTACTGATCCTGTTTATTTTTTTTAAAAGAAGGTACATTTATTTCTTTCAGAGATTATATAATGGTAATATAGTCATTACAAACCATGCGCAAAAGATTTATGCTAGGTTTTTCCATTAGAAAGAAATATCGTCTGCGTGGCATTTGTTGTTTTTACAGTGATCAGAAAGAGGCATGTTGAACTCAAATATATAAACAGTATAAACCATACCCTTTCTCTAGAATGTTTTGCTTATTATCACTTTTTGATACAAACTATGTTCCTTTTCTAGTTCTGTGAAGCTTGTCATCTGAACTGCTTGATCATAATAAAGTCAATCAGTTAAGTCCCCAGATCATCTATACTCTTCCAGTCCATTTCAGAGAAGCACTTTTATAATTTTACTGGAATGGAATGAACGTTACTTTCAGGTATGTTTTATAATGCAATCCATCCAACAGAAGTATTTTAATATAATTGCGGTTAATATGTTTGCTATGGAGAGATTTTTTTTTTTTTTCCAAATTTTGGGAGCCCTAACAAATGTTAGTACCATTGTTGTAGGCACTACCAAAAGGGGACTGCCATTCTGGAACTTGCCTATTCCACAAATGGATGCCAAAATGAGTAGGCCAATCAAGCAAGATCAACTTACCAGAAAGCAAACTCCTATTACCCTTATAAATGCAGGATCCCATCTTATTTCTCTCATTCTTTGAGCAGATGGATACATCCCAAACATGTGATGCTAGAGGCTGGTATTTTTCATTATTATATGCCAGTTTCTAATTTTTATTAATTAGCAGAACCTTTTAAAAAAGTAAACTCAGCTGCAGGAAAGAGCTCAGAGAAGGATAGCGTCTGAGAGTACAAACGTGCTGACAGGCACCCATTATCCACCCCTAGTGAATGCAATTATTTGTTTAAAAGCTCAAAACATTCATTACACTCACTTACATATAAAAACAGTGTAGCAAAATCACAATACTTAGTACAATTAGTAAATGCCTTATGGAATAAAAATATTATATAGCTTTTCCCTAAAGAAGGTCAATCACTGTTGAAATATGGACCTAGTAGGGAAAATGTTATTGTTTATACTCTAGGTAGTTTATTGCTCCCAGTCTTTTAGCTAGACTGAAGTCCAGGACAGTTTAGCCTAGGGATTTCAAATAGTAACAGAGTTTAGGTATCCTTTGGTGGCATTTCTCTCTAGCTCCTGTCTAGTGATTGTTGTGATTAAGTTGTAATGTACAGGCAGAGAAATGCCAACTTCATAAAACCATACTTCTTTTCTTCTAAACATTTTTAATAGCCTGACTCGGTTTGATTACTTTACCTCTCCTCTATTGCCATTAGGTTTAAAGGAACTAGGAAACTATCATACCGTTTACATAACTTTTTCAGTGACTCATAAAGTATTCTACATAACAGAGATGCTAGGAGTTTATTTCAAGCAAAACAATGTATTTATTCATGTCTGACCACAAGCAAACACCACTTTACTCAGCTCATGTGAATTTATGGAATTTATTTAATTCATTCCAAATCTTGGAATGAAGCAAACAAGTGCTTAACAATGGCAGGCTTACATTACTAAGAAAGAACTGTCAAATATGAAAAGTTCCAAATATAGTACATTCAAATAAGAAGCCTTTAATATTTCAATCTGACATTGTGGGGTATTTTCTAAAGTAATTAATTAACATTTTTAATCTGCATTTTTAAATATGCTTTTCTTGTCAACCATTTGTCCTATGTAGGCAACCAGTCTCATATGCAATGTGAATAAGTGAATATTATTTTCCAGAATACTGTATGGTAGATCAATTATTAATGATCTAATATTTTAAAAGATTTGGCTTTATGTATCAATTATCAGTGCTCAGATTATCAAAGTGAACTGGGAAGAGGGCTGAAGAGACCTAGCATTCTTCCTTTTATGATAGCTACAGAATGGACAGATACAATTGGCTAAAGTTTATGTGAGTTATGGTATTCATTAAGACCTTCCTATCCTTAGGCCATGATATCGCCATCATTGGCACCAATAGAATTAATTTTTTTATGCCTGAAACATGAAACATCCCATAGAGAGTATGTTTCATTAGCTTTGTTACTTCTTTGAACCTTAATTAACATCACTTTTTTTTTTCCTTTTAAGACTTACACCCTTCAATCTAAGGCCATTTTTAATTTACAGTTCTACTTTGCTCACAATACACTAATTAGGGGCAGAATGTCTTTCTACAAGCAGCATGTTCCTATAATTCAAAGATGGGCCAACGCTGTATTTCCTTTATATAAAACCTAGATAGGCAACATGTAGCCTTTGAGATGTTACTAGAGAACCATTTTCATCAACTATCAGTGCTGCCTATATTAGCTAGAACCAGTGGGATCTGATATATTGTAAAAAAAACAGCCATGCAGACTATTGGAATTTGAAGAAAGATACAAATATCATCAAGTTGCAACACAAAAAATTCCAGACTATTTTACTGTAGCCTTAAGCTTTGTTTACACAATCAAGATTTAGAGATTATTTCAGGTTATACTTAGATTAAATTGAGTTAGCCAGCTCGCAATTATGCAAACAAGAAATTTCAGAATGCTTTTAACTATACACCCTTCCTAACTATGTAGATAAAAAACATAAGCATATTGTATTCAACTGTAGATTCTATTCACAACGGATAATAAATTGTTCTATTATATCATCCCTTGACACCGTACTGAAAGTCAGGTGAATAAAACAGAATCCTTGTCAAAATAGGTTAATCCCATTTCAGCTGATTTTAACCTTTCCAAATGTATGAGCAGTTGCGTCAGAATGAGTTTAAAAATCTACTCTGAAACACTTTTATAACTGTGCACTCTGGACTTGAAGGGAAAACGGTTCTTTGGAGCATGCAGAGGCATGAATTTCACCCTTGTCTGCAACTTCTTATACCCCGAATGACTTTCAGCTGTGTAGGACAGCTGCACATTCCTGAGAAAAGGTGCAGCTCCTTTAAAGAGTTGCAGGCCGGTGGTATGTGCACAGCCCCACCTGCTGTGAAGCACCTTTCAAATCCAAGGCGTTGTACAATCCCATTATATTGTAAAACATAACACTTCTACATGCACAACCATTCCAAAGTAAAGAAACCATGTGTAATCATATGTTTACATGATTTACAAGCATCAGGATTTCAGTGGGATTAGTGGAATGGCTCAGTGAAATGCTTATCAAACTGATCACAATTCTTTATTTACCATTATTTATTTATATTTACAGTATCACCTATACATAAGGGACCATTTAACACTAGCACTTTGTTTTTCTGGTCCACTCAGCTCTTCCTAATCTATTTTCATGATGATATTTCTCCTTCAGTATTCAATTTCTACCAGACTACTTCTACAACTTATTTCTCAGAAGCTGCAATTTCTTTGTGCTCAGTGGTTATCATGTCTATTCCAGTGACATCTCTCTTACCAATGGGAATGGTTTCAAATTGGTAGCCTCTGTTTTCCAACACTTTGCTCTAGATTCTCTTTTAGAGCAAAAAATGTCTCTAGGGGAAAGAGGGTGGCAGGGAAATTTAGATTCTTAGTCATGGAAGCTCACTGACTGATGCTGGGCCAGTTGCTCAGCCCAGCCTACCTCACTGGACTGTTATGGTTGAAAAGAAGATAATTGGAAAAGAAAGTATTGTGTTCCTTGGCAAATACATAGCCATAGCAATCAAATAAATAATGCCATTTTGACCTGGAAGAAAAGTTTCATAATAGTAACAACAATAACAATTTTCACTACTTCCCTACATGAATACATAGCTGTTTAGCTGTTCTGGTTTTAAAGTAGTGTGTTTTCCTCATTTAACAATACAGTTTTGGCTGAGGATACAACCTATCACACTTCATTGATGATGTGGTTGTTGACACAATAGGGGTAGAATTTGCCCATCTTCTGTTGGCTACTTTAGGCTCCCATTGATAGGCCCCTTCTCCTCTGGTCCCTGGGAATTGCCTTCCAGAGAACACATGTGAACTCTGCTCACTTATGCCTTAATTACATTATGCATTATATACCCATAAAATATTCTGCTATATATATTAATGTATGCTGTCCAAGCAGCAGTTGCATTTGAAAACTGATAAAGTAATGATGCATTGCTAGTTTTAAACTAGCAATTGCAATTACCAGGTTTTAAAATAAACTACCTGAAACTACAAAGCTATCTCCCGCTTCTCCCACATTTCCACTGCTATGTTGACACTTGCAGCATTACATTCATACTGTAACCACTAATTATAGAACACATGTGAACTCTTCTCACTTATGCCTTAATTACATTATGCATTATATACCCATAAAATATTCTGCTATATATATTAATGTATGCTGTCCAAGCAGCAGTTGCATTTGAAAACTGATAAAGTAATGATGCATTGCTAGTTTTAAACTAGCAATTGCAATTACCAGGTTTTAAAATAAACTACCTGAAACTACAAAGCTATCTCCCGCTTCTCCCACATTTCCACTGCTATGTTGACACTTGCAGCATTACATTCATACTGTAACCACTAATTATAGAACACATGTGA